GTTCAGCAGTTGTAAAAGGCTTACTTTTTGCTCAATCAGCAAGGCAGGTTACCTCTTAGAAGCCTACTGCCCCCAGCTGGTACACATCAGGAGTTAACAAGATTAATGTTGGTTGCTGAGGTGCAACCTCACTAACAGCCAGGACAACTTTAACACTATGAAGACTGCTGTGTTACATCACAGCATGCTTATAAATTGTGATAGCTCTGAAAGAATGAAGTTGCAGTATGGTTGTCACTGATGGTGTACATCATAATTTGCTATCTATCTCTGACCCAAAGTCCTCCAAAAGAGGCATTTCTCCATGGTGTTGAAAGGTTCCTGTCTCAGAAGGTTCACTGACCTACTGTTTCACAGAGGTAAGGTAACTGCAGCTTTTCCCTTACAAACTGAAACCTAAGGAGGTAAGGAGTCTGAAAAGCAAAGCAAGATGCAACGTGGTTTCTTACTGTTCAGGAAGGATAAGAGCCATCGTTATGGCAGAGAAAGTAAGTGTTTAAGTACACATCAGTTGTACCTGCTAATTCTTCATACATTCAAGAGCCACAGTTTGCCAGTAATATCATACTTAAAGCAAATAATCTGGAGCATAGCTCTTCCTAATGTTACTCCTCACCCTCCAGAAGCCAAGTCCAGTACATCCTGTTCTCATAATTCAGTTGCAACATTCAGGTACCAACACGTTTTTGAAGTCAAGCAAGAGGACAGCTGCAGGGCCATTTGTACACTCCTCATTTAGCAAAACAAAATGGTGTTACCCCTTTTGTGGTAAAACTTTGAACTGACTGGCAAGACCTACAAGTTGTGGGTCCAGACTAAACAGTTTGGCTTGCCCTTTCTATCATAGGTGCATTTAGTATTTTGCAGTGTTCTTTTTTGAAAGGATCCAATTTGGTTAACTGAAAGTTGAAATCGCCTTTAGAAATTACCTTTGCTTGAGACTTCCGTACGAAACCACTGGTACAGAGTAACTACTTGTTAACTATTCCAGTAAGAACAATGAGGGGTTAAAAACAGGTGCGCTGTACATTTTGTCACAAGGACCATGCTGAGACTACCTAGCTGTGATATGCATTAAGGCCTGGTAGAGTTTGCATAATAGTTAGTGAAAGGACAAAGCAACCATCAATGCGCATATTGACATCGCTACTCTATGGATTTTGCTTAAAATTAAGTGAAAGTTCCAGCTGCAACAAGCAGCTTTGGTATGTGACCCACCTGGTATAGTTTCTAGGATATCCTGGGCTATGCTATCAAAAAATATTTGAAGGAGAAAGTCTTTTTAATGGAAAAAAAATTCCTATTTTCTGCCAGAGCTTCCAAAAAGTTTAAAGAATGCTCCCTTTTTCCTGCTTCCCACTAGGTAACGTATAGGTGGTCAGCTTGAGAGACTTCAGGACTAAACGAAATAGTCCTCATTTTGAAGGAATGCAACTTGGAGCTGTCCAGGAATGCAAATTGGAGCTGTACCTGGCTTTAGGGTAGCTTACACAGTTAATAGATAGTGTCTGCTTATTCTTCTGCCCTGCCTGCAGCCTCTGGTTTTATGGCCTATTATAGCAATTGGAAATTGTGTCACTTACATGCAGGTACTTCCTATCCCTTTAAAAAATACTATTCCTGAAAAAGTTCAGTAATGAGAGGAATATGACATGTTTGATTTTTAAATTAGTAAACTGATTGTGCTGTACAATAAGAACAGAGAGAGATGTGCTGGTTTTTGTCTAATATAGGGCAAAAGTGTAAAGAAATACGCATGCAGTCTTGACAGACTCTATTCTCCTAAAGACTTCCGTGTCACCTCTATGATGAACATATACCTTGACACTGGTATCATTGCTGATACACATTTAAAGCAGAAGTGACTAGATGAGAGCGACGAACTCGGTGCTGCAGCTGACAAAGCTTAAACAGTCTTAATTACAGCACATGGAGAAAATAGCATCTAGAACAAGCTAGTTTCAACAGTTTAGTGTTTTCTGTGGTAACGCTTAACCTGCTACGAAGACAGAGAGATGTATGTATTATTGGCAATGAACAGGGAGACTTAGACAACATGGCCATAAATATCACATGAGATCTTGCATAACATACTGTTTCTTCACCAGAGTAATCTTCTGTACTGCAAACAGTCAAAATTCAGAGTAGTTGGGGTAAAATGTCAGGAAAGAACACTATAACAAACAGTTCACGCAAGCTAGCAGGCAAAGGCTATTGGTCTCATAGCCAGAAGCATTTTGGGGATGAGATGCATTATTTATAATCTTTTCAATATGAAGGACCAGCAGATGTCCTGCAGTCCCTGTTCCAACGGCCCATGTACTGCACCTGACGTGGAAGCTTATTCACAGCTCGTAGGTAGTCTTTGTCTAGGATGCAGTTCCCAAGAGCATTTCCAAAGCACCTGTGAAACAAGAGAGCTCACTGTGACTGAAAATAACACTTAATTCTCACTCAGCTTCTGAAAACGTACAAGTGCTGATCTGTGCTTACTTGAGTGCCCTCTTCAGTCCATCTGTTACTGCCTCTTTTCTTGCCTTTTCTAGGGACAAGGCCTTAGACTTTAGGCCTTCACTGACTCCATAGCCCACGTCTTCATGGTATGACCCATCCTGCAAAAGGATTTTAAGAATACAAAATATAAACGAATTTTTGCACATACAGTGCTTCTTGTTAGATGTTGGCCTTTCCTAAGCTTGATTACTTGCTCTTGGCTGGTTGTTCTATAAGCAAGATCAATGTTTTGGACAGCTCTAGGTTCCCTAGTGTAGTACAGTACTCAAGAGCCACAGTCTGACCTATGCATGAACTTTCACTCACAACTTCAGGCAATTGCTCAACTATAAACAGAGAAAACAAAAAAAATCACTTACCTTAAGCTGAACTTTCACAAACGCGCAGACCCCCACATAGAACTTGCCATTGTTGAGGTCAACAAAGTCTGGAGAAGGGAAAATTAACATCCTAAATAATACAGAAGACTTCTGATCTACATTTAGATCTTATTTTGTCCTTTGAGGGCATTCATAAACCTGTACTATACTTGCTGAATGTGCCCAAGATACTGTAACGGAGCATGACTTTGAAATATTAATTGTAGTTTGAGAATGCTGACTTGCATACATGCTCTGGGCATGTTATGTGATACTTCCTGGTTATTAGTGGCTAGACTTGCCAAACAGTGGCAGCCTGCTACTACATGTATGAACTTAAACACATGTAAGAAAGAAAGAGTTGTAAATGTTACTTCTCATTCAGCTACATATCCTACATGTTAAAAGCATAAGAATTTTTTCAGATAAAAGCACCAGTTTATAAAAACAGCATCAGAAAATAAACTGCTGTGTATAAAAGTAATTTTGTTCCTTGAAGTCTCCAGTTTGTGAATATTTGCACAAGGTTTTATCCAGGACAAACTGTCTGAAGAGCTTAACAGGTTAACAGCTGAACAACTCTCAATCCAGAATCTCTAATACACTTTGTTTTACACCAAAAGCAATGCTATGTAATGTACATAAGGCAGAGCAGTCTTACAAGTCTGACATGTAACGTGACACATGTCTGAAATGAAATGCTTTGAAGTTCAAGTAACTGTACTGTCAGGTCCAAAAGTCAAAAGTTCTTCTGTGCTCATCTGGTCTATTTGTTCAACTGTTTTTTGTAAACCTGCTGGAGGTGCAAGCCAATTTTCTAGCCTGGAATTCAAAACCAAACATAACAGAATCTTCTGTCTCTGAATTTCTACTGAATGACTTGTTCAGGCATTATTTGAAAAAGATAGAAGTTTGAAGGATGTCAGCTCTTTCTTGACTGAAAAGGTGGTGGTGGCGGTAAAGAATAGACGGAAAGCAATGAAGTAACTTATTTTATGTCTAGAATCTACCAGTAGAAAGAGGTAAGAAAAGATTTCTGAAGGTGGAGGGGAGGAAGGAGCTACATTTAAGCAGCTTTGTGAGCTACTTCAACAACCAGTCTTTAATCTAAGCACAGCAGATCTGCAAACAATGACAGTACTCTTCTGGTAGGAACTATTTCAGCTACTGAGACACAAGAAGCTTAGGCTTTAAGATGACCTGAATATCATTTTCTAGAAGAATTTTTCCAAAGCTTTCTTACTGTAAAAATCTCAAAACAAGGTACTGGCTAGAAGAGGAATCTGCAGAAAAAGATGTGTCCCTAAAGATCAGGGGAATATTAACTGAGTATATGAACTTGTTAGAACATAAAAATTACAGGTGAATATGAAAGTTGGCCCAGGGCTGCTGGGTGTTAAATAATTTAATTGTAATTACTCTTGACTGAGTGTTCCTACAGAGATCAGAAAACTTTATTAGAATAGCTCAAGAGTAATCATAAGCACACTTAGAATAATGACTACAACACATTCCAGTGCAAGACCTAAAACGAAAACACAAGCTCTGTTGTTACTCAATTTCTCTCATTCTTACCAACTGCTAAGACACCTGGAAATTCCACATGCCTCCCCCAGGTTCTCTGAAGTGATCAAGTTCTAGGATAGATACCCTGGTCTTTATCTGAGAGACTTTTCCTTCTGCACCTCACTGTGAAACACGAGGAAAGACTTCTTTACCCTCAAGAGATACTTACCAACATTCTGCTGAGTGACTGAATGAGCCCAGCCATTGAAGCCAAACATCTCATTGGCCAGACTGATTACCTTGTGACCCTCAATGTAACAGACCTGAAAAGCAAAGCATATGTACATAAATATAGATACATACACATGTGCACACATCTACACACACTTTATTTTAAAGAGAGATTACACTGAGGATACTTAAGTTCAAGGTTCAGATAACCTGAATATAAAGGACAATGGTTCAGATTTAGATTGACCCTCTTCAAGCACCTGTGATGGGGAGCTAATATAACAAAAAACCGACTTAATCAACAGAAGGCAGAGCTAGCAGGCATTAAAGAGGGCAAAATGTAGCCAATGTTATAGAATGCTTCATATATTCCAGTTCTGGGAAAAAATAAGAAAAAACATGTCAATATTCCGTAAGTAGATAAATATTCCCTTGTAAAGGATGAAGCACTGAAAAGTTAAGTCTCTTTTTTTAAAGCGTAAAAGGAACCTGTGGCTCAGTAAAAGAGAGTTTATGCTATACTGACTTTGCTTTCATATAGACATATTAAACTACTAGTGGGAAACTAACTTAAAAACACCCCCCCACCCCCCCCAAAGATTATTTTTTTACTCTGGTTTTTTTTCCTGGAAATAAACCCCCCCAAAATGGGGAGTTGAAACGTCTCTTCATGTTTGTCATACCTTTTGTCCTCCTCCAGCTTGCCGACTGCTGATATATTCTGGACCCAGTCTCTGACGAAGAGCATGCTGGATAGCTTGATATTCACTTGCTGTGTACTGATGCTTGACAAAAACAAGGCAAGATAAATCTCACTCTATTTTATCTTTCCCTCTTCTCCCAATATCACTTCTTAATCCCATTTTTCCACATAGAGTCTTTCCAAGAGGTGTAAAATCCATTTTTAGAATCAGGATGTAATAGACAAAGAAAGACCTCAGGGGGATGTGTGTGTATGTATTACATTTGTCATTATATTGTTTCTTTTCTCTTACTCTCGAAGTATACGTATACAAGCATTAATTATTAAGCTGTAGCAATTATTTTTCATTTCTCATAACTACCACTTGCATTAGAAAAACTGAGATGAGCCAGGACTATTAGTATCCTATTGAAATCTTAATGCAGTCATCAAATGCTTGTGTTGCTATGCTCTGATGTGAGACAGAACAGAGATTTCACCAACTAAATCACAAGTATTGTGTACGCATGTATTGGCTGCCCTATCATTCAGCAGAGCACAGAACTGAATAGGGTGTGTGCTATATATGTTCCAATACCTGCCAAAACTCTTTCATTTGTATTTAGTTCTATTTAAACTTGAAGGAATAACTGTCTTTTTCTGACACTAGAATGCAACCCTGTAACCAAAAGGCATAAGGAATAAAGAAAGAGTGCACATGCCTATGTTGTATTCAGGAACCATTTATCATGCTTATCATGGAGAAGATGATTCATCACCAAAAACGTAATGAGCAAGTAGGTATAACATAGCTAGGGTAATTGATAGGGCTCCAGCCTTACTGTATCCAAATTTAAAATGAGTAAACATGCAGAGCAGACTTCTGGAAGTGCAAGCATAAACCTTCTATTTCCCTCTCAGGCAAAAGGAACTGACCTGTCCGAAGCAAGCCACCGAGCTGGTAGTGCTGGAACTATTGCTGCTGATGCAGCTTTCACTGTCTTTCCCTTGACTTTCAGGCATCCCTAAAGGTAAGGGAAAATATAAACACTGAAGATAACGGAACTAACAGTCCATATGAAGACATGCCAAAAAGCTGTTGGAAGTCCACTGCCCAGTGAGTATAACAATATTCTGCAATAGATGTGTTGGACATTACAGAAATATTGTACTTCTCACTCCATGGAAGTGCTACAGCCCCAGTTGGAAATTTGTTTTCTGGTGTTGTTTCAGAACAATCAAAACTTTTCTTCTTAAGTAAGTTATACTATGTAGGTAGAAATGGCAAGTTTCATCCTAGAAGCAGAGCACTGTTCTGGTCTTCCATCCATAAAACTGGTAAGGGTGAGCCTAAAATAAATTATATGACAACAATGAAACAATTATTTCATTTAAAGAACAAATAAATTATTCTTGCTAGTAAAAAGAAATAAATTAAAAAATTCAATGGCATCTAAATCTTGTGTAAGATCAGGGACTAGAATGAAAATGAATAGTGTCTCGAGTCCTTATTTTAAATATGAAGCTGGTAACAGCTGTTTGTTTGATTTTCAGGTAAATGTACAAAAGGAAAACCAAAATAATTTAGTCTTCCAGATTCTTCAGCACTGTCTTCCTACCTCACTTTCAAGATCCATTAATCCTTAGACTCTGATAAAAAGCAGAGGCAACTTTCTAAAATTTTACTCATTGATACCCTGACTTGTCAGTCTTTATTTCAGATTGTTTTGACTGTAATTATACTGTCCTGTGTATGGTGCTATCATATAAACTATGCAGACTTGAAAACCATACAGACCTCTGAGAATTTTAAGAAGTTGTAGCAGTAATTCAGTAGATGGCACCCTTTTCCAAGCCAGTATCTCTCAACTACCCAGTACTGCATTACCGCTCCACCCTGCTGCTGGAAAAGTGGTCTTGCTGAGAGCTTATTCAACAGGCATGCAAAGGAGCTCCAGCAGCACTTCTATATATGCCCAGAAACACAAATGCTGAGTACAGCTGCTATCAGAGAATCACAGAATACCAGGCTGGAAGGGACCTCAAGGATCATTTGGTCCAACCTTTCTAGGCAAAGCATGACCTAGAGTAGATGTCCCAGCACCCTGACCAGCTAAATCTTAAAAGTGTTCTAAGCTGGGGAATCCATCCCCTCCCTGGGGGGATTATTCCAACAGCTGATTGTTCTCACTGTGAAAAATTTTCCTCTTGTGTCCAGTCAGAGTCTCCCCAGTAGTAACTTGTGCCCATTAACCCTTGTCTTCTCCCTGTGACTCCCTGTAAACGGGGAGTCTCCACCTTCTTTGTAGCCATCCTTTAAATTCTGGAACATGGTGATAAGGTCTCTTCGAGCCTCCTCTTCTCTAGGCTTAACAAACCCAGCTCTTTTAACCTTTCCTCATAGGGTAGTCTATCACTAAGTCTTTTCCATGCAATACAGATGTAAAAGAGATCCAAAGGAGCTCCAGCAGCACTTCTATATATGCCCAGAAACACAAATGCTGAGTACAGCTGCTATCAGAGAATCACAGAATACCAGGCTGGAAGGGACCTCAAGGATCATTTGGTCCAACCTTTCTAGGCAAAGCATGACCTAGAGTAGATGTCCCAGCACCCTGACCAGCTAAATCTTAAAAGTGTTCTAAGCTGGGGAATCCATCCCCTCCCTGGGGGGATTATTCCAACAGCTGATTGTTCTCACTGTGAAAAATTTTCCTCTTGTGTCCAGTCAGAGTCTCCCCAGTAGTAACTTGTGCCCATTAACCCTTGTCTTCTCCCTGTGACTCCCTGTAAACGGGGAGTCTCCACCTTCTTTGTAGCCATCCTTTAAATTCTGGAACATGGTGATAAGGTCTCTTCGAGCCTCCTCTTCTCTAGGCTTAACAAACCCAGCTCTTTTAACCTTTCCTCATAGGGTAGTCTATCACTAAGTCTTTTCCATGCAATACAGATGTAAAAGAGATCAATATACATACAGGATAGCTAGAGATCTCAGAACAGCCTGGGAAAGCCCAAAATCCTCAGCAGATAGCAATATTTGTCAGTCAGAACCTAGCTAGTATTATACTTTGCTAATGTACCCCAGGTTCAGCGCTTTTAAAACCAAGTTGTTTTCCTAGACTCTAAACAAGGAAGCCAAAGTTTACTGAACTTGGCAAACAATTTTCAGAAAAAGGATACTAGTTGTTTCCTTGGCAAGTTTGAAGTTTAAGCACTGGTAATTATGCCACGTATTGCTAAAATTCTCCTTACTTTTGGTTGGATATAGTTATTCATCTTTGGTCCAAAAGTTGTGTAATTGTACAGTGTTCATACATCTGAATGTGTTTCAATAAAAAGTTTGCTACAATTTACGATGAATGCATTTGGGTTTGGAAGACAACAAATAGAAATTAAAATTACCAGGAGAAACACTTGTTATTTAAGCAGGCTGTTTCACCTGTAAGAGCTCAACGCATTGTGAGAGAGACAAGTAGAGAGAAAAAATAGTATGTGTGCATTTGCCTACACAACCCTATTACCAGATTGCCACAAATCTTTATGCACAGTAGGTGGGTGGTATTTTGAAGCAAAATTGCTTTAACTGAAAGCAGTATTATTGAGTCCTTTAAGTTTTTATATGGTGTGCACCACTATCAATCTAAATTCTCTGAAGAGATACACCTTTAATGAAGCTCTGAATGAGATACAGGAATTGGTTTTGAATTAGAATGAGGAAGTACAGAAGTCTGCTGAAAACAGCTCCACTTCACCTGGTTTTAATCCAAGAGATCAGATGCTGCTAAAGAATACTAGCAATACCATTCTTCGCAATTAACAGTTTAAAAACATGTCAGTGGTTTGTATTCAAATTATGGATTACTCTACAGCTGGTGTGAAAGAGACATGATGTCAGTTTAGTTTCAGGCTTTGCCTGTAAAGAACAGTTTGTTTCAGCTGTGAGCCTTGTTTAAACCAAACACTCTATTCAATCAACCTGGTGTTTCTTTTCCAATCCATGAAGCGCAGCACAGCAAAACCCTATCTCTCAAAACTCTTATCGGAGCATTTCAAAGTAACAGAACTTCAATTTCAAAATTATTAGCGTAGAAGTTTGGAAGAGAGAAAAGTTAATTCTGCAAATGAAATCTACCTAGATACCAGAGCCAGGAGCTAGGGAAGGAAAGGTGCTTCCATTCCTCAGTAGAATATTGTTTCCTCACCTCACTCTCTTCCCGCAACATTTTATTCATGCGAAACATTAATACTGAGGTAGGTAACAAGATATTGACTAGAGTACAAAGGAGCCTCAAACACGCTTCAGGATCAGGACAGGGCTAGGGAGATGACCTGACACATAAACCTGTATTATAAAAAGGCTGCATTTTCCAACCATCTTAAAATACTAAAAATTAAAGTTTAAATGTACTTGCTCTGTATGCAGGATGATAAAAGCAGTTTGTCATCTGTGTAAAGACACCTAGGAATTATAATTTATTACCTCTGTGTTTGTGACTGTTTATTATTTACAGGGAATTCTTTTTAGTTTAGCTATGTTCTCAGGAAGTTTCGTCACTGAGAGAAAATACACAGGAGACTACAGGTGTTGCACTATGCTCCAAAACATTACCTTGATAGACTAGAACAGGCAAAGAATCCCAAGGGCTTTAACTACCATCACACTTTGATCTTGTTTCTGTAAAAAATGCCAATAACACAAAAGCTTAAATTTTGAACATATTAGGCACACAATCAGAAAAAGGGCTATTTTGTGAAACTGGATATGAAATACTCATTTTCAACAGCTCTCTAGAAGTAGGTATTTATTTGTATGGTTGTAGTGAACTGAGCAGCTGTGGAGAAAAATCTGGGTGCGTAGACAAATTCCCATGATGATAAGACAATCTTCTAGAACAGATAATCATGAATTTAATCTGTTCAAGTACAACTACTACTGCAGGTTATGGCAGCAACACCTTCACCTTCCATGATAGTATGCAGATAACTTTAATTTTCTCAATTAAGACTTCTTCACACATCTTTTACCATATGGTCCATAACCCCAAACAGAGATCTTGGTCCTAAACCACCTCTTTTTCCTATCAGTTCCTCTCTGTTTTGACAAACTAGGTTTTGCATGAGGCACATGCATTGTCTTGTGCTAGAAGTGTCAGTTGCCAGTTCTCTTCACACATAAGGTAGAAGCAGGCGGTTTTGCATGACTTCAAAATAGCTTGCATACCATGAATTGTCTAAGTACCACAGCTTGGGAAACGCTCAGCTAGAACATGTCTGTTTTGAGAAATTAATTGTAGCACCACACAACCTAAGATACAACTTGAGCATGGACTGTGAACTTTCATGGGGCTTTTTATTCAGCCTCCTTCTCTATACGGTAAGTTTCCGTCACAGCGAAGCTTTGGTTTGCTGAGTAAAACTCTAACATTCTTTCAATAAATGCAATTCCGCTGAGCCCAACAAGAGCAAACAGCATATAGCAACGAGTGATTTAACAGGTAGTAAAGATAATAGCACATATTTAACCTGAGGTTCATATTGCTCTACCAAAACACAGGCAAAGAATCCCAGTTTCTTTAAAAGTTTTGTATATCTGTGGAGTATTCTCTCCTCTGGAAGCTCCAAACTATTTTCTAAGTTGATTAACCAGTTATGCAAAGGCTGCTTTACCTAACACTGAGCTGAGGCATGTAGGCCTTTTAAGTACAATAGAGCAGATGTTCCTAATCAAGACAGGCCTGTGCTATATACCACAGTTTAAAAAGAGTGGAGAATAGATTGTGAAATTCCTGTAGAAAAATTGCATACAATAGAACTCTTCAGTTTTGACTTCTGATGATATCTCTAGGCAAACAACCTTGACGACTTGAAAAGTGAGGTAACGGTCAGTTAACTTCAACAGAAGAAAAAGATAGTCGGTATTTTATAGGTTAAAACAATGAAATGTAGAGGGAGGCCACAAGACCAGGTGTCTATTGTAGACTAAAGGTGACATCTGGTGCCTGCCAATACCATACTGATACATCTTACTGGT